TAGCCCAGGTTATCAAAATGGACTCAAGTGCAAAAAAAGAAGATAAATGGTCCTGAGAGTTATTAAAGAAACTGAATCCATAGTTAAAAATCTTACAAGGAAAACACAAGAGCCAGTCAGCTTTATAGATGAAATGTACCAGTCAAGGAACAGATAATTCTAATTTTACAGAGGATTCTATGTCATACAGTAGATAGTCAAAGAAGAAACATTCAATTTATTTTATGACATTAGATTTACCCTGACACCAAAATTAGACAAAGACAGTAAGTACAAAAGGAAAACTACAAACTAATTTCACTCACAAGTATATTATACTAGCAAACTAAATCCTGCAAGCTATAAAAAATATCATATATTATTTTCAAGTTGGGCTTATCCTCAGAAACTTAAATAGTTTAATATTTAAAAATTGGGCCGGGTGCGGTGGCTCACGCCTGTAATCCTAGCACTCTGGGAGGCCGAGGCGGGTGGATTGCTCAAGGTCAGGAGTTCAAAACCAGCCTGAGCGAGACCCCGTCTCTACCATAAAAATAGAAAGAAATTAATTGGCCAACTAATATATATAATATAAAAATCAGCCGGGCATGGTGGCGCATGCCTGTAGTCCCAGCTACTCGGGAGGCTGAGGCAGGAGGATCGCTTGAGCCCAGGAGTTTGAGGTTGCTGTGAGCTAGGCTGACACCAGGCACTCACTCTAGCCTAGGCAAGAAAGCGAGACTCTGTCTCAAAAAAAAAAAAAAATTGATTACTATAATTCACCTCATTCATGGAATAAAAATTATATGACCAATTCAACAAATACAGAAAGAGTAGCAAGAAAAACTCAATTTCCATTTAATCTCAACAAACTAGGACTTGAAGGTAACTTCCTTAATCAGAAAAAGGATGGGTAAATAAAAATGCTATTAATATAAACAAAAGTACTTATAGGAAACATTATAATTTAATGGTGAAATGTTGAAAGCACTTCTTTACCTTGGGAAAAAGACAAGGATGCCTGCTATGACTGCTTCTCTATTCAATCTGGTACTAGAGGGCCTAACCACTATAGTACAAGTTGAGCATCCTGAATCTGAAATGCTTCAAAATCCAAAATGTTTTGAGGGCTAATATGATGCTCAAAGGAGATGCTCACTGAAGCATTTCTGATTTTGGATTTTTGGATTTGGGATGTAAGTAATTTAATGCCAATATTCCAAAATCTGAAAGAAAATCCGAAATCCAAAAACACTCTGCTTTCAAGCATTTCAGATAAGGGATACTCAACCTGTAACAGAAGAAAAGTAATAAAATATGGGAAGATGGGAAAGGAAGAAACAAAATCATGATTATTTACATATGACAGGTGTTTTGATACTATCAATATAGAGAAAAATAAGTACACAGAATTAGTAAAACTTTTTCAAAGATTTAAAACCACTCAGTTTCTGGAATCAATTTACACTAATATAGTGCATGTAACTTATTCCTCCCTAATCTCAAAAAATCACACAGAGCTATTTATAACCTAGAAATCTTATTATTCCTTGCCTAATTTTAGAAACCACTGCATTGTGACTCCACCAGGTTAGGCTAAAGCAAGTAGGAGATAGACTTCTAGGCTTTAAAGGATTTACACACAACTAAAATAACATCTGTCTAACATGTTCAAAAGCATGCTGTCTCAGATCTACGTGTAATACTTTTTTGTAGTCTAACAGTTGTATTTGAAATTTCTGTCCTTCATAAAAAGACTAATAATGCTGAAAAATTATTCTACTTTTTTTGATCTATGACCTAGCACATGTAACTATTCAGGTCTATCTGAAGTATGGCCAATGGTCAAGATCTTTCCCATATTGACGTGAATCCAAAAAATGAAAGTCACTTATGCAATCTATCCACCCATCTATTAAAAATATACTGAGAGCTTACGTGTCAGAGATTGTTGTAGTCCCTGGGGATAGAGGACAGAACAAAATTAAGTGCCCGGTGTCATAAAGTTTGCATGTTAGATGATAATGATGATGATAATGATGAAAACAGCTACAAACATTTAGAAAGTGTATATCAAGACACTGTTCTAAGCACTTTACATGTATACACTCTACAACCCTTTGATATAGGTACCTCTTCCATTTCCAAATGAGGATATTAAGGCATATAAAGGTTATATACTAATATTAATAATTTTTCCAAGGATACATCAATAGTAAAGTGGTAAAGCCAGGATTTTTAAACCCACTTAGCTTGGCTCCAAATTCCAAGATCTTGAACCACTATACTATATTTCAGCAGTGATATTTTCTGTGGAGAAAACTAAAACCGGATAGAAGTATATTTGGAGGGGGGTATAATTTTACAAAGAGTGGTCACTGAAGGATTTCTTGATATCCTGCCGCCTGTTCAACACCTCCCTTTGAAGGTAACGTACCTCAGACCATCTCTTCACACAGTCTCCCAATCTCAGTTAATAATCATTCTGCCCTGGCCGGGCGCGGTGGCTCACGCCTGTAATCCTAGCTCTTGGGAGGCCCAGGCAGGCGGATTGCTCAAGGTCAGGAGTTCAAAACCAGCCTGAGCAAGAGCGAGACCCCGTCTCTACTATAAATAGAAACAAATTAATTGGCCAACTGATATATATATATATAAAAAATTAGCCGGGCATGGTGGCGCATGCCTGTAGTCTCAGCTACTCGGGAGGCTGAGGCAGAAGGATCGCTCAAGCCCAGGAGTTTGAGGTTGCTGTGAGCTAGGCTGACACCACGGCACTCACTCTAGCCTGGACAACAAAGCGAGACTCTGTCTCAAAAAAAAAAAAAAAAAAAAATAATCATTCTGCCCTTCGAGTTAATTAGGCCAAAGTCTCACCTGTTTGGTCAGACTAGAATAGGCTTATGCTGCAGTAACAAACAACCGCCCCAATCAGTGGCTTGACAAAAGTTTTTATCTTGCTCATGCTAAGTTCACTGCACCTCCAGGTGGTTATCGTAGAAATGGTGACTTTACCATCCCAGTTACTTTGACCCTGTGGCTCTATAATTTCAACACAAGGCCTCCATCACAGCAGGAGAAGAACTAGGAAACATATAGGGGCTTTACACACTGCCTAAGCCAAGTATTTCCTCACATAATTCCTTGGCCAGAACTAGTTACATAGCCTCATCAGGTTGCAAAGGGAGCTGAGAAATGAAATATCTCATAGCCTAGGCAAGAAAGGTCAAATTAACGAAATGGATATTGGTGACATTACTATATCATCCTTGACCCCTCTTTCTTTCATAGCACACATCTAAAACTAAGACAAATCTTACAAGATGTATGTTCAAAATACATCCAGAATCTGACTATTTACTTCTCATTGCCTTTACCTCTACACTCAGGTTTAATCCTCCATCATTTCTCACCTAGATGACTGCACTGGCCTTTCATCTGTCTGACTTGTCCCCACTGCCCTCTTGTCTAGTCTTCACCCAGATACCAAGTGGTCAAGTCATCTCTCTGAATAAACCCTCCAATTGCAATGATTTCCCAACCCATTCAAAGTTTAATTTAAAAAAAAAAAAGAGTCCTTAAAATGGCCTTCTATGTCTTACAGAATGAACCTGAACAACCACTACTCCTCTGACTCCAACTCCTACTACTCTACCTTTCACTCACTTTGTTTCAGCCACATATCCTCCCTTGGATCCTTTCAATGTGCTAGAAATACTCCTACCCAAGTACCTTCGCACCGGATGTGCTTTCCACCTAGAACACATTTCCCTCATATACCTACACAGGTCAATTCCTCACTGTCTTCAGGTCTTTGCTCAAATGTCATCTTTGAAGTGAGGCTCTCACTGACCCATTTAAAATTGGCTTCACACACCACTTTTGGCCCCTAGCATTGCCCAACTCACATCCTTGCTATATTTTTCTCTTTAACATGTGCCATCATCTTACATACTATATATTTTACTAATGTATTAGTGATTTGTTTCCCACCCTCACCCAGATTTAAGTGCCATGACAGGTTTCTGCCTTGTTTGTTCACTATATCAATAAAATAAACATATATTTTATATGAATGAATGAAGATTACATGTGAGTAGAGAGACACCTAAGGGAGTAAACAACCTACCCATATATGAAAAAAGAGAATATCACATAAAGGACAAAGACTCAGACACATGTGACCTTGTGTTTGAGGAAAAAAAAAAAAAATAGACCAATATGCCAAGAGTTCAAACAGTGAGGGGGAATAAGAATAAGAAAATGATGTTAGAATTCTACTAGGAGTCAAATCACATGTGACCATGCAAATCATCATAGGGACTTTAATTTTCACTCTGAATGAGTTGAAAACTCATTGAAAAGTTTTGAGCAGAGGTCAGGACATGATATGAATTAGCTTTTTGAAACAATTACTTGGGATGCTGGGTACAAAATGGGTATCAAGCAAAGGGAACAAATAGAAAAATCACCTGGAGGCTACTGCAATTCTCTGCAAGGGATATGATGATGGCATGGACATGAGTGGTAATAGTGAAAATGATAAGAGAGGTTGGAATCTGGATAGAAATTCAAGAGAAGGCCAGGCACAGTGGCTCATGCCTGTAATCCTAGCACTCTGGGAGGCCGAGGCAGGTGGACAGCTCAAGGTCAGGAGTTCGAAACCACCCTGAGCAAGAGCGAGACCCCGTCTGTACTAAAAATAGAAAAAAAATTAATTGGCCAACTAAAAATATATAGAAAAAATTAGCTGGGCATGGTGGCACATGCCTGTAGTCCCAGCTACTCAAGAGGCTGAGGCAGAAGGATCACTTGAGCCCAGGAGTTTGAGGTTGCTGTGAGCTAGGCTGACACCATGGCACTCTAGCCCAGGCAACAGAATGAGACTCTGTCTCAAAAAAAAAAAAAAAAAAAAAGGAAAAGGAAAAAAAAAGAAAAAAAAAAAAAGAAATTCAAGAGGAAATATAACAAAGGAAGTAGGGTTACTAAGTCTAGAACCCAAGGTAGAAATCTGTACTTAAGATATAAAATTGGGAGATGCGCCACGGCTTCGGTGTCTACCGCAGCTGTTTCTGGGCTTGAGCTGTGCTAGCACCTCCCCCAGGAGACCGTTGCAGTCGGCTAGCCCCTTCTCCTCGGTAAACATGTGCGACCGAAAGGCCGTGATCAAAAATGCGGACATGTCGGAGGAGATGCAACAGGACTCGGTGGAGTGCGCTACTCAGGCGTTGGAGAAATATAACATAGAAAAGGACATTGCGGCCCATATCAAGAAGGAGTTTGACAAGAAGTACAATCCCACCTGGCATTGCATTGTGGGGAGGAACTTCGGTAGTTATGTGACACATGAAACCAAGCACTTCATCTACTTCTACCTGGGCCAAGTGGCCATTCTTCTGTTCAAATCTGGTTAAAAGCATGGACTGTGCCACACACCCAGTGATCCATCCAAAAAACAAGGACTGTAGCCTAAATTCCAAATACCAGAGACTGAAATTTTCAGCCTTGTGAAGGGAACACCTTGATCTTTGAACCTTTATTGTGTTTTGTACAGGGCATTCTCTGTACTAGTTTGTTGTGGTTATAAAATAATTAGCAAAACAAAAAAAATATATATATAAAATTGGGAATCATTAGCACATAGATGGTAACCATAGATTAGATCAAAGAAAAGAAGGGGTAATGGAGGAAAAAAACATTTACTTTGAATAAACAGAAGGAATGATAGAGGGACAGAAAGAAGGCTGGAGAGAGAGAAGAGAAAAGGAAATGAAAGATGGAATAGTCTATATAGACAGTAGCAAAGGATAGATGTATATATTCCTAGAAGGAAAAATGGATGGATTGACTGATGAAAGAAATGGAGCAAGGAAGAACAGATAAACAAGATAAAGATGTAATGACACATGGGAAAGAGAAATACACAAGACACAGAGAAGGACATATGGGACAGAAAAACAAGATGGGATAGAAAATCAAGAATGGACAAAGAGAGATGGAAGATGGTTAAGAGGGTGAAAAAGAAGGAGAGAAGAATCATGCCAGTGAGATGATGGAATAGGAAGCCCTGGACTCTCTGTTTGCCCACAGACACGACTGATTCAACACCAATACACACATCTCTTTGTGAGAAATCCACAAACTAGTTGAGAAGCTCCTGCATCCTGGGCAAGTGTGAAACCAGGCACAATGAAACTGGTAGGAGAAACCCTCTCATCATAATCCCCATTCCTGGCAGAGCCATATAATATGGAAACTCCTACCTTTTCCCTGAAGAGGATCCATCCAGTGCACCATCTTGTTCAGGTGCTGCCCATGGGACTAGCATCTATTCACCTGTCCCATAGTGCTAAAGGGACCTAGTATATGCTAGACCCCTAGATGCAACAGAGAACTAAGGTGGTGGTTTGAACTAGTATGCTGGCACTTGCCACAGTTCTTTTCCCCAGCTCAATGCAGAGCAAACAGGCAGGAAAGAATCCCTAGCTTCCAGCTTCTCCCTGCAAAGGGAAAAATTTGGGCCATACATCCAGTGTTTCAACTCTTCTGAATGCTTTAAGGAACTAGCTTCTGTTTCTGCTATCTTGGAGTGCTAATGGGACTTGCCTTATTCAAGACACCTGCAGGCCACTGAGAACAAAGAAGGTGGTTTGAACTAGCATGCAAACACTTGTCATAGCTCCTCAACCCAGCCCAGGGCAGAGCAAGTGGACAAAAAACTCCAGTTCCCATATTCTCTCTGGGGAGAGAAAGAGTTGGACTACATATCTGACATTCCAACTTCTTCAGATGCTACATTAAGGATTGGCTTCTGTCTCACCTGTGTCAGAGTGCTGTTGGGACGCAACATACTGTAGACATGTGAGGACACTAAGAAAAAAGATGGCAGTTTACAATAGTACAAAGGTATGAGAGGCCCATAGAAGTTCTGGTCAGGTTGAATGGTTAAAGTCTTCTCCTATACCAGGCCAGTCCATGAAGACTGGGAGAGATGAAGAGGTAGAGAGGTGGTAGCTTTTTCTAACACACAGATTCCAACACAAAGAGTCAAGGAAAATGAAGAAAGAAGGAAACATAATCCAAACAGAGCAACAGGATAAACCCTCCAAAACCAAGCCTAACTAAAACAGAGATATATAAATTACCTGACAGAGAATTTTAAAAAACATTATAAAAGTGCTCAACAAGTTCAGAAGAACAATACACAAGCAAAGTGATAATTCCAACAAAGACATATAAAATTGGCAAAAGAACCAAACAGAAATCTTGGAGCTGAACAATACAATATAATAACTGAACTGAAAAATTCAATAGAGGGGTTCAACAGCAGATTAGAGTAAGCAGAAGAAAGAAGCAGCAAACTCACAGACAAGTAATTTTAATTATCCAGTAGGAAGAACTTCAAGAAAATTTAAGGGACTTAGGGGACACTATAAAATGGACCAATACATGCATTATGGGAGTTTCAGAAGTAGGAGAGACAGAGGAAGGACAAGAAAACTTACTCAAAGAATAGCTGAAAACGTCTCAAACCTGGGGAAGGAAATGGACATTCAGCTCCAAGAAGCCTAGATGACTCTAGTAAGTTGAACTTAAAGATGTCCACACCAAGACACACTGTAATCAAATTGTCAAAAGTTAAAGACAGGCCAGGCACAGTGGCTTACACCTGTAATCCGGGCATCTAGAAGGCCAAGGCGGGAGGACTGCTTGAGCTCGACAGTTCAAGACTAGCCTGAACAAGAGTTAGACCCCATCTCTACTAAAAACAGCAATATTAGCCGGGTGGCGTGATGCATGCCTGTAGTCCCAGCTACTCAGGAGGCTGGAGCAGGATGATCGCTTAAGCCTAGGAGTTTGAGGTTGCACTGACTGAACTATAATGATGACACTCCACTACATCCAGGGCAAGGGAGTGAGACTTTTCTCAAAAAAAAAAATTTTTTTTAAGCAGTAAAAGCAAAGCAATTTATCATGTACAAGAGAACTTCTATAAGACTATTAGGAGGTTTCTCAGCAAAAACCTTACAACCCAGAAGGGAATGGGATAATATTCAAAGTACTGAACGACAACAATAAAAAAACCTTGAAATGATAAAAGTTCTTCAACCTGAAATAAAAAGATCCTAAATAACAACACAATAGCATAAGAAAGTATAAAACTCACCAAAAAAGGTAATTATATGGATAAATACAGAGCATATTACTATAATGGTGGTGAGTAAATGACTTTTAATTCTAGTATAAAAGTTAAAAACAAAAGTACTAAAAATAACCACAACTAAAAATATGTCAATGGATACACAACATAAAGAAATATAAAACTGTGACACCAATAACATAAAGTATGTGGGAGGGATAAGCAAAAGCATAGTTTGTATGTGATTGAAGTTAACTTGTTACCAGCTTAAAATAGGCTGTTACAGTTATAAGATGTTTTACATAAGTCCCATGGTAACCACAAAGAAACTACGAATAAACTAATAACTTGGTTAAAAAATGGTCTAAGGGGATAGGCACAGTGGCTCATGCCTGTAATCCCAACATTGTGGGAGGCCTACTGGGAGGATCACTTGAGGTCAGGACTTCAAGACCAGCCTGGACAACACAGTGAGACCTTGTTTCTACAAATATTTAAAAAATTAGCTGGGTGTGATGGCACATGCCTATAGTCCCTGATACTTATATCAGTAGAAGCCTGAGGTAGGAGAATCTCTTGAGCCTAGGAGTTTGAGGTTGCTGTGAGCTATGATGACACCACTGCATTCTAGCATGGTTGACAGAGCAAGATCCCAACTCTTACAAAACAAAACAAAAAACAAATAAAAAACCCAATAAGGACAGCTACTATCAAAAAACCAAAAGACAAATGTTGGCAAGAATGTGGGAAACTGGAATCCTAGTATACCCTTGGTGGTAATGCAAAATGGTGTCACCACCATGGAAAATAGCATTGAGTCTCCTCAAAAATTAAAAATAGAACTGTACCACATTATTCAGCAACCCACCTCTAGGTGAACTGAAATCAGGATATCAAAGCAATATTAGCACTCCCATGTTCATTGCAGCACTATTCAAAATTGCCAAGAGGTAGAAATAATCTAAATGTCCATTGATAGAAGAATGAATAAAAAATGTGATGTATTCCCATGTGGGATGCTTCCAGTAGGGGTAATTGAAAAATAAATTTAAATATAAACATTTTTTTTTAAAAAAAAAAGAAAAAATGTGATGTATATGTATACAAACACACACTGGTACGTACGCACACACACACACACACATACACATATACACGGGAATATTGTTCAGCCTTTATTTTATTTATTTATTTATTTCAGCATATTATGGGAGTACAAATGTTAAGGTTACATATATTGCCCTTGTCTATTCAGCCTTTAAAAAAGAAACAAATCCTTCAATATGTAACAACATGCATGAACCTTGAGACCATTAAGCTAAATGAAATAAGCTAGTCAAAGAAGGCCAAATACTACATGATTTCATTTATATGAGGAACTAAAAGGGTCAAACTCACAGAAGCAGAGAATAAATGGAATGGTAGTTATCAGGTTCTGGGAAGGAGGGGAAGGGAAAGGGAAAGCTGCTAATCAATAAGTATAAAGTTTGAATTATGAAAGACGAATGATTTCCAGAGTTGTTATACAACTTAATACCTATAGTTAATAATACTGTATGGTACACTTAAAAATCTGTCAAGAGGCTGGCTCTCATATTAAAGTGTTCTTATCACAATAAAATAAATATATATATATTTTTTAAAGGGAGGTAAGGGTAGGAAGGAAAAATAAAACCAAAATTTGAAAACCTTAAATCTGATGTGATTCTCTGTAACAAAAAGGTCTATTTAATTACTAATAAGTGAGTTATGAACCTATCATGGACCTTGAACATATCCCATATATACTTGATTTCATTTTTGAAAATGAGAAGTATCTATTGACTTTATGGATGATTTATAACATAGAATTTGTTCTATGCTTAGAGAAATATAAGAGGTGAAATTAAGAATTTATTAGATAAAATACAGAACCACTTATTCTGAGGTACATTTTTCATTTATACAATCCAACATTTGAGCATCCATCTACTTAGGATACCAAAAATAAATCAGAATTCTAGCCTCTGAAGCCCACAAACTTTAATGAGATTAAGTTATACAAATTTGTTATATTAATTAGTATATTGCATCACTGAAGTCCCAAATATTAAAGGACATAAAAAAGACAATTATGCTGAGAAAGATCTTTAAGGTTTTAGAAAGATGATGACTAATCTGGGTTTTTAGTATTTATCATGGCATTTTGTGACAGCAGCTTAAATTAGTCTTTAATTAAAGTATCTTTTAACTTCTGAGGTAAATTTACACTAGCATAAGGCAATGTAATTTATGCCACCCTAATCCCAAATCACACAAAGATATTTGAAATCTAGGACTTTTACTATTCCATGTGTATTTTTAGAAACCATTGCATTGTTACACTACAGGCCAAAAATCATGTATAAAATCTACTTCTAGGCTTTACAGGATTAATATGGAACTAAATGAAATCCATTCAACACGTGTACAAAAGCAAATG